CTGCGGCGGAAAAGTCAGCGAAAGTGCACCACAAACTTTTGTGGCGCACGTTCGCTGACTTGTGAAAGGAGTGCTATTTTAGCACTCCTTTCAGGCGCATCTTCCCACGGCGGCCCCGTGCCGCCAGTCTGCTTCCCCCCTAAGTAACCTCTCCTGGCTCAAGCCCCTGCAAACCTGCAGAAATATGAATCGCCCATGCTCTGATCACCAGCAGAATGGACCTCCATGTCAGTATGCATAACTGCTACATATTCATGATCACTACTTTGTCACAATTGTATCACTACTGCCACAATCATAACCCTACCACCACCACCTACTTCACTTGTCATCAGCTGCACAGGAAGAAGGAGGTGCATTTTGCTGGTGACAAGAATACAGATGAATGACATTTCCATCAGGGTTTGGAAGGGGGGGGGGCAGTTAGGCCAGAAGAGATTACTTAGTTATGTATACTTAACTAAGTATATATAACTAAACAGCTGATACACAACACTGGCTGTAATCATTATGTTTCGATGCCCAGTAATAAGTGGTATCAGGTTTTTAACCATTTGAAGAGTAAATGTACAGAATGAGCTTCCAAAGATACATGCAAAGAACTCATTTCAAAACTAATAACTATTAAGACCTGTGCAGAGTCTTCACAGGTAACTTTCGAGGCAAGAGCTAGAAAGAAAGGCCATGCTATCACCATCTTCTGCTGAAAAATTTACCACTACTCCACTACCTAAATTGACCATATATTCTGGTAAACCATAAAAAGCCCCACAGGCTTCCCAGTGCTAAACACAAAAGGCATAGCTCAGAATACAACCACAATAGCTGGAAACATAAAGGCCAACTCATATAACTTGTGGTAAAGGTCTCCCTCATTTCAATACCTCAAACAGTCCTATAAAACTTAGTTGGTCTTCTGTTCCATCCCACACACTTAACAAGGCTAGAGTCAGTCCTTCCAGAGTTATTTCAAAGAATGCAAGGTCCCATCAAAACTCCAAAGTCAAGCACTTTGTCTTGCCCATCTCTACTACCGAAGAACCCCAAATCTTCCAGATCCAAACAGGAAAGGGTGGGTGGAAACATGCTTGCACGTACTTCCCAAGACATCTACCATTGTCATTGCCAATTAGACTCCCTTTTAGCCCAATATTTACACTTCCAAAGAATTTTGGGTTCTTATGTGTTCTTCAGTATTTAAAGGTTTACTTCCAAAAGCAAATGTACTAGTACCATCTTCTGAAGCTGTGGTTCCCAAGGCTTCTAACCACTTAGAGAGTGCTTAGCACTATAAAGCAGTATAGAAATGTAAGTGCTAAATGCTATAGGCGTTTTGGGCTTCAACTACCAGAAGTCCCAGCCAGCTTGGCCAACAGTCAGGTATTCTGGGATCTGAAGTCCAAAACATCTGGAGAACTAAAGTTTGGGAACCACTGCTCTGGAGTGAAAGTTATATTCTACTAGTATATAGCGTTTGTATGCATATTTTATTTTGATGGGCACACTTTCTTGTCAATGTGTCTATGGCTATTTCATATTACAGTAGGAGTATATGTGGTATGATCCATGAAGGATCCAGTCCATCATGTCCAGTATGTCCAGTATGGACCATATCAGAAGTCAGCCAGCTGAATACTGCAAAAGTCAAGGGTATATTTGAGGTATATTTGAAAGAGTGAAGTCCTATCTCTCCTCCCACACCCCAGCATCCCAATTAACTCCATGAACCAAAAAAATGGAAACTTTGTCTTGGTACTCAACTGTGTAGTCTTGAGTGAAACCACATTCGCAGAGGCTGGAAAAGATATCAGGTGGAAGGAATGTTGGGGAAGGGGGAAGATACCTAATATATAAAATACAAATAAGATTTATGCAAGATGATAGAACATTGTGTCAAAAGTGATGAAATTTGAGTTGCGTGCAAAAACCCTAATGAACCTCAAAGCAGAAAGAGTGAAGAGCAGAAAGACCAGCATTTAATTTATTTTCAAAAGTATTTTTCTTTAAACCAGGGGTAGGCAACCTTTCCCCTTTAAGGGCCAAGGGACTTCAGCTCCCAGAAGCCTCAGCCATGTTGGCCAATAGTCCCATGTTGGCCAATAGCTCCTGTGATTCTGGGAGCTGAAGTCCCTCGGCCCTTAAAGGGGAAAGGTTGCCTATCCCTGCTTTAAACTAATAGGATGTTAAGGGCTCTCCAACAATAGTCTCTTAGAACAGTCTAGGACAGGGGTAGGCAACCTTTCCCCTTTATGGGCCGAGGGACTTCAGCTCCCAGAAGCCTCAGCCATGTTGGCCAATAGTCCCATGTTGGCCAATAGCTCCTGGGATTCTGGGAGCTGAAGTCCTTCGGCCCTTAAAGGGGAAAGGTTGCCTACCCCTGGTCTAGGAGGATGCCTCCTCTCATGATGAGTTTCTTCAGATTCTTCCTGAAGATAGTATATATATTTGACCCTAGGAAATAAAATCCACTTCTCAGAGAGGGATGGGTATGCCCAGTAAAAGCCTAAAGCCCATTTTGGATCCATCCTGGTACAAATTCCAGGATCTGTTCATGCAAAAGGCAAGCTCAGCTATATTAAAATAAGACCCTAAGAAAAGTCACCTGTTCTACAAAATGCACCCCAAAGAATCTGGTGATCTTTCAAGAATCAAAACACTCACTATGATCTCCTGAAAATTTCCTAATTATTCAGTTAAGACTCACTGTTATAGCCCATTACAT